TTGCCTCTCTGACAGTGCGCACCCTCCTCCCGCCCTAGGCGCCACGCCCTCGCCACGGCCACCCCGGCCAACCAGCCACCCGCCGTCTACGAGTTTTGCTCGCCCGAGGCGACCACGCTCGGCGAGGGCGGCGACGCGATGCCGATGCCCCCCTCGTACCCTCTGGCCGCGAACGCGCCGATCGTACAGGCCGTCTGATCGCGCCTCGCGCAAGAGAGCTCTCCTCTCGGAGTGTACTCCCCGGGGGAGGGTTGGAGGGCTGTGAGCGAAGTGCGAGCCGATCTCAGCACTCAGGCTCCAAAACGCCCTCGCTCCCGTCTCGTTGCCACATTGGCCCGGCGTTTGCTTTCTTAATTCTTATAATATAACTTCTTTATTTCTTTTGTTTGCCTGTGTTAGTGCTAGCACGCGCAATCGTGGTCAGTACTGTTATGTATATGCACTCTGCCCCCTATGCATTCGCATCGTGATATGCATCCTTACCGATCCATAACCTTAGCGCCTATACATTTACGTATTTGCAAAATACGTCGCCCTCTCCCACCCTCCCGCGTCGCGGCGCGTGAATGCATAACACAGATACATAATACATAGGCGAATGGATGCGCATTACGACCGAGTGTCACAAAACTCCTATGAATTATGTATTATGCATTTGCATTACGCACTGGGAGTCCACATCGTGTGTTATGTATTACGTATTACGTATTACGTATTGTGTATTACGCACTGCCACTGGGAGTCAACATCGTCTGTTATGTATTATGTATTATGTATTGTGTATGATGCGTCATACATTGCGCATTTCAGACAAGCACACCATGTGTGTGTGCTGGCTGCTACGTTTTATGTGCTCGCAGCGGGCACATGCACATATTATGAAAATATACAGCGACTCCATTCATTCATCAGTGGACAGGGACGGCAATCGGGGGGGGGGGGGGGGAAACAGCAGCGGGCGGGACCCAGCAGCAGCACTGGGCTCATCATTCACTGGGCGAGGAAAGCTCGAGGGGCGCGGCATCAAAACTATACACTGGGGCTGGGGGCAGAAACCAAACGTGCACCAGACCTATCACCAGACAGGCGGGGGCAGAGGGCACAGCGGTAGGGCGGGGGCCAAGGCGGGTTGGGGCGACCGGGCGACGGACGCCGGCCTCGATGGCGATCACCACCCTAAGGGCGACAGGCGGCGTACGAACCCGAGCCGTGAAGGAGACCCCCCCC